CTTGTCATCAATGGCAAAAGAACTATTATCATCCTTGGTATTTAAGAAAAATCAAGTGTTGAAGATCGATTTCAGCTCGAATCAAATTTGAAGTCTCCTTGAAGAAGCTTTGGTTTATATCCATCCTATCTTTTTATCGTCTTGTAATCCTATCAAACCTTGTCGAAACGGACTCCTTGGCAAAGAGTTTCGTCTTTAGTTGTGCTCTTGTAATTTTGGTTTGATGAATGAAAATAAGTTGGGAACAAAAAAAGATCCTAAGCTTTGATGGTGGGTGTGGTGAAGAAGAAGCTAGTGTGTAAACAATCTATACTATTAATTGGGAAGCATTTTGTGAACTACAACATTGTGAGGGTAGTTTAAGACTAACTAAATGAATTTTTACATGGGTAATTTAGTAAATAAACAACTACTACAAATAAATAAATATATTTGATTCGAATCCTTCATTAATTTTTTGCAAAAACAAATAACGAGATTAATGATCCAATATATTCCGACATTTGCTTCGTCAATATTTTTGGTATGGTTTGTCTACAAAAACAAAAAAGGAAACAACATTAAATATTAAATAATAACTGAATATTCAGCATCAATATATTTATTTCGAATATAAATCGAAATATTTTATAATTTTCAATTTGTTAGAGATAAAACAAAAAAATTCAACATAAATCGAATGTCATTAATTGAAAAATACAAAATATTTTAACAATAAAATCTAAACTAAATTACTAGCAACTAAACTAAATTAATAATATATGTTTTAAAATAAAATTAAATATTTGCGGGTTGGTAAATACTAAAATTATAAATATTTATCAACTATATTATCAATTTTGTAACAAGAAATAGTTATCAACGATGTTACCAATCTATAAAAGTTTATGATATTAATAGTGTAGATTTATACTATTAATTGGGAAGCATTGGATAAAATATAACCTTATAAAAGGTAAATAATTACAAAGACTGCCATTGATATTTTTAAATTTGAAGAAGAAAAATTAATAAACCGAAACGGGTAATTGTGTATATTTAATTCGAAATTGCATATATGTAAACTAAATTCTTTTCGTAAGATATTATTAGATATTTTCGAAAATGGCAATCTAATCTAATAACAAATTATCATTTCGTTTAGATTTTTAAATATTTCCTTAACAATACTATGCTAATTAATTCTGATTGGTACACATGGAAAAAAGATTTTTCAATTTTGATTTTCCAAATATGAAAAAACATTTATTATATTTGTCGTATATAATATAAACGAAATACTTCCATCCTTTAAAATACAGCTTATTCAAAACCTAATTTTTTGGATTCTAAATTTGTAAATATCTAGAAAATATTTCAAAGATAGATTAAAATATTTAACATTCAATTAGAGTTTAAATGATATAAAATTTTAGAATATATTTTTTTAAAAAATGGGTAGTTTTCATTATTTTAAATATATATAACTAACCTAAATTTTTAATATATTTTTAAAACGTACTATAATAGTTACTATATCTCCTAATAAATTATTCAATTTCAAATCAAATAAATTAATTTATTTTGTACCAAATTGTTACAAGATTTTGGAATACACATTCTTCTAGAATTGATTATTTTCTTTTTCAAATAACATTAAAATAAATTTAAATACAAATGTTTTAATTTTTAATGAAAATATTTCAAAATGAGAAATATAAAATTTAAGGAACTATTGAATTCAAATCAAGATGACTAATTTAACTAATTACAAGCTACTTTGAGACCGGAGGTTAGTAACGCACCGCATAT